ACACACTTTCTGAAGAGATCAAAGTGTTTTTTGGCTCAGATTATTCCTGTCTCCTTGCTCGTCTCCTATCTCTGCCGCACAGTTTAATAGACATATCTTCAGAAGCCTAAGAGTCAGGAAATACTAAGGCATACATCGAATGTACTTTAAATAGGTTGTTTTGCAAAGCCCAAATGTAGTATTAGTTAACTGAATTGTACAGTTATGCACACACACGGATAGTAATTAGTGATTTAGTTGATCACTGTAAGACAGGTCAGGTAAGGAGAGTAATACTTTGATGGCCGTTGTCCATCAGTGAGGATGTAAGTGATGGCTGAAGCAAGCACAAGTCTATTCTGCCTTTCACACTATTTCCTTATACAGTGGTCCAGACAAGTTGAAGACTATACCCAAGTGCATACATTGTAGTTAAGACTGTGTATTATCCATCAGCGAGCCATTAGCAACTGCTACAGTAGTCGCTAACATTAAGTAAAAGATTTATCTATGTCATAGTCAAAGTGAAATGAGAGTTATAAACTGTGCTGCATTTCTGAGGCTAGGAAATATGAGTTGTTTAGGGGAAGCTTTTCCTGGTTTTGGCTCTGGAAAGATTTCTCTTCTTTGTACGGGACTCATTTTCCACCCAGGCTGGCTGCAAGCTTTCCACTTGTCTGTCTGTGCTTGCGGAGGACAGGTGTGCGTCAGCACAGCTGCTGCCTCCTTTAGATTTAGGAGTAAGTAATGGCTTCACGTCTGTTTCTTCTGCAAACAGAGAAGCACATTTCCTAAGGTAATTAAGTTCAGTGGATTGTTTTTAAAAATGTGGGTATAACAGTAAATGGATAGTCTCAACAGTAAATTTCAGAAAGTCTAAATAAAGTTACACTTTCCTCAGGATCTTGCTGGATTATCAGAGGAACAAAGCCCTTGCTTTTCTAACAGGCCCATTGTACAGTGTGGCTCACAACAGTGGTTACGCTTGTGGTGTCCTGCAAGGGCATAGATATGTGGGTGGTTGACTCAGATAGCAAGTAAGGAGATGATAAGGTTAATACTTTGATAGAGATGAACTAATTTCACCAAGGCTCTAGCCTGGACAAGTAACTAGTCACTTTGTTGAAGGTGGAGGAATTTCTAGTCAAACTTCTTTATAGCATTTTGTGTTCTACCTGTAGAGCATTCATTCTAAAAAATTCTTCAATATGGAGTATTTGAGGCACAGAGTAGCCATGTGTCTGGACAGAGTTGAGAAAGATATACTTTTGGCATGCACAGTTGGCCTGGCCGTTTCCTGGGCTGTTTGAATCACTTTATGTCTCCTCCTTTGCTATTCGAAATAGTAGCAGTGCTTCCAGAGAGCGTCAGGTGTGAGTCTCGATGCCTTTATGATAAACTGTTATTATGAATGCTTTGTCACACACAATTGCAAACAGAGAGACAACTAAAGAGCTTCAGTGGGCAGCATCCAGTTAGACTGTGACGGGGCAGCTAGTACAGTTTTGTTCTTTACTCTCTGACAGAATGAAGTACCAGTTACGATCTTGTCCATGCCTAGTTTGTGGGGGGAAAGATCATATTTTTGGAGTAATATGGAGTATTCTTAATTTTCTGTTGTTACTAGAACAGTCTAACTCACTAAAATTCAAGCAAATGCATATTTAGGATTAGAAAACAGCCCGTTTCCATTATCTCTTGAGTAATTCAGCCTACTTTGATTTTACGAAGATGGCTAATAAATGTATAATACTAATTATCCATATAAGATAATCAACTTTGCCAACCATGTGTGCAGTCTCCTCCGTGTTGTTTTAGCAACGGTAGCATAACAATCTCATGCTCACAATCCTGTTGTCACACATACACAAGAGCAATTTGTCCACAGTCATATAGTGAACTCCTGTAGCCATTAGGTACCAGAGCTATTCCCCAGAGGTTTTCACCCAAGAATCCTGCTTTCATATTGCAGCAATGCCTACAAGAACTTGTAGAGAGAAAAAACTAAACTTTGTATTTGTAATGACTGTTAAGGAAAATTATTGGTGTATTTCCTCCCTAAATTACTAATGTTTTCAGGGTTAATTCATTCCATGAGAACAAAAGGAGTGCAGTAGGCAACTATGTCTTAACTCCTTTTCAAATTCTCAGCCTTAAGATTGCAAGAGAGAGACTGGGGGAGAGAGAGAAGGCACAAGAGTCAGCCAGATGACATCCACAGCATCGGTTCTCTTTCTGGTACAGCCAGAAGTGCCTGGTTCTACCGCAGTGAGCAGCCCTCGAATCAGCCGTAGGTTATGCAGCATGAGCTTCATCCGTTTGAGCTCCAGCTTCAAGACACTCTAAGTTAGACCTGCTTTTTCCTGAGTACATGTCAATCTTTTACTTTGAAATCCATTTTTAAATAATAAACATCTCTTTTAATAAAGTCAGCAGTTATTTATAAAAAATAAAGGTTCCTGAGGGAACAATGTTGAGTATTTATGAAGCAAACTACTATATAGTATAGCTAGAGGATTACTAACTCATAGTTTATATTAAAACTTAAAAGGATTAAAAGAATTCTTTGATGTAGAATTTGATGTGCAGTCAGTAGTAACACTGACACTTAATTCATTCACTGCTTTATGTGATTCCCTTATTTTTAGGGGGAAAAAGCTAATTAATACTAAAAGTGAATAAAACATAGCGTTTGAAATGTAAGCTTCCCTAAAGCGTTGCTCTTGTTTAAATTTATAACAGTGCCAAATGCACTCTGGTATGAGCAGTTGAGGGGAAATCCATACCTGAAGTAAGCGCTCAAGCAGTGCTTTGAATCACCTGTCTGTTTAGGATTTCTTTCCATTGGAGCTAAGACAATAGAATATACTGTAAGCAACATAAAAAAGCCAAGAGAATCAAAACAGAAAAATGAAGGGATCTAGGACTATACTTCAGGGGTTTAATCTGGGTTTAACGTGCTCACGGCCTTAGCACCAGCAGATGAGAACAGAAATGTTCTGATATAATGTTTTTCCTGCGGAGAAAGATGAAGATCCATTTAAAACTTAAAAGCCCAGACTGCAGTGGCAGCACGTAACTGCAATCCCACGTGCTGCAGAGGGCAAGGCAGGAAGACTGTTAACTTCAGCCCAGCCCAGACAGCATCTACACAGATGCATGCAGTCTGTGAAGGAGGCCTACAAGGAGTTCTGTCGACACAAAGGTGTGTCCTACAAATACACTAGGAAATGAGTATTATCCTTGAGAAGAGCTAAGGTGTCAAATTACATGGCCCCTTGAAATACTGTCCTGATGGAATTATTTCATGATAGGATATAAAGTTATATTAATATGCATAGTGGCACATACATGGAACTGTAGAATTTGGCCAACAGAAGCAGAAGGATTACATCCTGGGCTAAGTATTGGGGAGGTATTTTAACTACTGAAAGGTATAAACTAAAATTGAGATGTATTTCTTTGGATAAGCTAAAGTTTTCTTAGCCTAAATATATGTATGGCATTCTCAAGTATAAGCATATAATTAATTTATTCTGTTCATTTGTGTTGATTAGCAATCATTTGCAAGATGCCTACTTTATATCTTCTGGCTTATTATATATATATATATGTGTGTGTGTGTGTGTGTGTGTGTGTGTATATATAATACGTATATCTATTTATATATCCCAAATCTCAGGAAGTCGGAAGCTGCGTGTGGGTGAGATGCAGCCAGCCTCAGCACTGGGAGAGGTGCCTCAGCAGCACCGCTGCTGTCACTCCATGCTCTAGCAAGTGGGGTTTGTTTTGTTGTTTTTGTTGTTATTAACCATTTTTGCCAGTTTTACCGGTTTGTAACTGATAACCATTTTCCTTAATTGCTGTAATATATGAACTATGTCCAAATAATAGGAACATATCCTTTGTTATTCTGAAAAGGTTGCACTAATAAGATTGACCAGATATGCAAATTTCCATTAATATGTTAAGCACTGCGTTTTCTTCAAAGCCTTCCCTCTAACACCTCGTTATTTTCAGGGCCTGGTACTCAGATTCCACTGTCAGATTCCTCTAGGGACTTGTGTTTACAGTTACTTGTCTCGTGTCCTGACTGTCACATTCTCATTGTTGAAAGGCTGGCTAGTAGAGACTCTTCCTGGTATTCCTGCTCTTGCCCAACACTGATCGAAATGTCAACACCTACACTGTATGTGATTTTTCTTAGCACAGTTGGCTGAGTTCCTTCTCAGTGTTGTTATAAATGACTCAGAGCTTGTCCTTACAGCCGTCTCTTTGACCCTACTCAGCCCTGTTCTGGGGGATGCAGTCAGGGTTGTCTTTACACTGATGGAAGGTCCCTGGTTTAACAAACCACATAGCTAGCAGCAGCTCCTAAGAGCAAGTGGTGCGCAGGTTTCCGATTGTACATGATAGTGGCTCAGCACAGTCCAGAAAATTCTCTTCTGCTTTCAGCAAGTCTGCACAGGGAGAGTTGACCCGGTAAGGTGGGCGAACTACAGGATGGGTGAGAGAGAACAAGTGGGCATGTCTCACACCGCCTGATTCCCAGCAGACTTACTTTTCCAGGCCATGTGTGTCCCGCAGAAACCACTCCCACTCTAAAAGGTGACCGGCACGATTTCTGCGCTAAAGCCCAGTCATTACTTACAAGTTTAGTTTTCTTTGTAAAAATAATCTAAAGCTGAATTTTTAATCTAAAATTTTTTGACAATTTATTATGAATTTGCATCATTGCCATCCCTCCATCCCTCTCCAGCTCCTCCCGTGTACTCCCACATCTTCCCAAACTCATGATCTCTTTATTATTATTATTGGCACACACAGATACATATGTGTATTTGAGTTCATTTAGTGTTATTTATATGAGCCATATTTTAAGAAAATTAGTTTCTAACCTCAGGCAAGTCACCTTTGAATCCTTTAAATCTAAATACATAATTTAAATATTATCTCTGATTTTTGTCCTTCTGTTTTTAATTCTCTTCCTCCTAATAAGCAATCTGTCACCCTCTTTGTAGATGCTGAGGACGTGCTCACTCCCAGATCTTTCCAAGCTGTTCAGAACCCTGATGGACGTTCCCACTGTAGGAGATGTTCAACAGGACAGTCTGGAGATAGAGGAGCTTGAAGATGAGCACAGTAAAGATTCCGAAGACACGTGAGTACAAAGCCATTAACAAATGAGATTGCCGCTGTGATGTCTGAGCCTTTAAAGAGTCCAGAGAGCATGGCCTACAGCTGGCTTCTCATCACCCTTCAAGTTCTTACAACTTGGTCAAATACAGTCGGCCTCTTGATTCTGGATATCTGCTTCTAAATGATTACTACCTCATCTGATGCATATGAAACATTTATATTTGTGTTCACTGTCTTTTTTCCCCATTGACGTCCATCTAGTACACTGATGCGACTAGAGTAAGAGATTACTAAGTAGTGATTAAATTAATTTTCACAGGGTAATTGACTACAGTCTCCATTATACTAGGAATGAAGTGGGAAGTTGGGAAGTATTAAATGCTCCACATTTTCTCAGGAAAATGCCTGAAAGTTTCATATCTGCCTTGGACATGTTTCATTTTAGGCTGTGTCAGTGGTAAGGTAGAGTAGTTATTTTATTTGTATGATATATGTGGGAGTGGGGGGCAGGGTAACCATGAGAGAGAGAGTGTATGTTGTGTGTAACTTCATTGTTTTCACAAAATTCCTATCTTGTGATTCATGTGAATTATAGAACTCAGGAAGGAAGTGTAACGATATTTCTGAAAGTTAAGGGAAATGTTGGCCAAGCCTCTGATAAAAATCATTCTTGACCTCTTCAGTTTTAGCCTTCCAAGCACGTCAGGCAAGTATCACTAACGTGGGGGAGCTAAAAGCTAAGTATCCTGTCATGAAGTGCTAGGAAAAGTGTCGTGTAGGGTCTAGTGCTGGGGATGCAGGGCTGTAGCTCTGGGGTAGAGGAGCTTAGCTTGGGCGAGGCCCAGTTTGAGGCAGGATCTCTGCACCTGGCATTGGTACTTTGCAAGTTCCTAACAAGCTGTCCGTTCTCATCAGTCCTCATAGAGACCTGTGAATGGTTGGGAGGGACCCTTTCGTCATGCTTCATTGTGCTCACTGGTGGACACAATGTTTAGCACCTGGGTGGTTGCAAATTGCTAGGTAATGGATTTTGTGGAGGGTTTTTCCCAAATAGAACTAAAATGAACAGTTTTTAACTGAGCCAGCTGTAAACGAATTCTTCCTAAAGTACTATTCCAGATTTACTAGTTGTTTGTCATTGAAAACTGATTTTGGTTCATGTATTTATCAAGATTTTATAATGGGAAAGCAAACTAAAAACTAAATTTGGGACCAGATTTCAGATTATCTGACACAGGTTTTTGAATGCTGATTTCATAAAATATACAATCTTCTCAGGTTTTCCTTAGGGTGGCAGTCAGGCCAATCTCACTCACTGACTCCAACATGCCTTGGCCAGTATTTACTCATGCTCACAGGTGGGGTTGCTAGTCAATAGTCAGGTCCACAAAGTCCAATGGCTAGTCAGTGTACTAAGTACCAAATAAAGGTACTTCTGTGAAAATGGTTGTTTTCTCTTTCCAGTAATGTAAAATGTCTTCAGGTCCTTACCTAGTGTTTGTATTGGGAGTTGAGTGTAAACTTTTGGGGAGGTCATCATGAGCATCCCTAACTTAAATTGCATTTCTAGTAGATGAGACCGGTGTTTAGGATCCCTCAGCAGACGCCTTCACACATCCAGACTCTGACAGAACTCTGTCCTCAGAGAGCAGCCTTGAGTATGCTTCTGAGTTACTGTACAAGAGCTCAAGGTTTGTCTGCTGCGCATTGCTGAGGCTTTGAGCCATGGCATACTTTGATTTACACTTTTCATGTCTCTACCATGAGCTTCATTTGGATAAAATTTAAAAATTGGTTGAAACTGCTTAGTAAACTAATGTGCTATATAAATATAAGGTCTTACTATATGAATTAATTTTTTTTTCTACATTTTAAATCTCATAAAGATAGGAATTTTTTGCTTTGAAGACAAAATTCTCCTGTTAGGATTATGGTAGTTGATTTATTCTTGGGAAAATCTACTTACATGTTTAGAAATGTTTTCAAGAATATGCACAGAAGTTTCTGTTGGCTATTATGTTCACTTTATACAGACACTATACAAGACCTTGACTCTTATTGCTACAAGTGCAAATGCCTTCACCGTGCCCTCCCTTCCTCTTCATCCATAATGTGAGCAAATCCTCCACCAACGTATCCTATAGGGATGCTTTTTCTAGCTTCCATTGCTTCGCAGGAAATCATTTAAAACCATTCCCTAAGTCTTTCTAGCAGACGTGCAGTTTCCGGCATCTGTCCTTCCTTTACAGCATCGGTGCATGTTATGCACCAGCGGTAGTCAACACGACATTCTGTCTGCAGGCTGCAGCAGATGCTGATCTGTGACCAGATACCAGGTAGCTGTATGTGGTCTTTTTGTTTTCCTTTTTTTATTTATTATTATTTATTATTTTTATTTTTATTTTTTTATTGAGAAAAGGAAAAGAAAAGTTTCCCCCTCCTCCCAGCCTCCCATTTCCCTACCCCTCCTCCCACTTTTCTCCTCCTCCCCCCACTCCTCTCCCCCTCCCTCTCCAGTCCAAAGAGCAGTCAGTGTTCCCTGCCCTGTGGAAAGTCCAAGGTCCTCCCGCCTCCGTCCATGCCTAGGAAGGTGAACATCCAAACTGGCTAGGCTCCCACAAAGCCAGAACATGAAGTAGGATCAAAACCCCTTGCCATTGTTCTTGGCTTCTCATCAGCCCTCATTGTTCGCCATGTTCAGAGAGTCCGGTTTTATCCCATGCTTTTTCAGTCATAGTCCAGCTGGCTGTATGTGGTCTTGATCAAGGTTCTGAAGCAATGGGGTGGCATTTGGAAGTAAAAATACAAAACTTCCACTTGCTCCCTCCTACACACTGAACCCAGTCCAGCCAACCTGAACCAAGATAAGAGAGCACCAAGAGGGAACCGAGAACTACACAGCTCAGCACCATGCGGGTGTGCCAGAACTCACTCCAAGAGATTAATTAGTTCTGTTGGCAGGTTGATTAAGAAAAGCTGCTTGCTTTTGCTTTTTTTTTTCCTAGTGGGCAATTGTCTTTAGTTTTAATTGCTGTATTAAAATACCTAACAAAAGCAACTTAAAGGCAAAAGGGTTTGTTTGGCTCATAGTTCCAGAGGTGAAGATACTGTCCATAAGGGCAGAAAGGCATGACGGGAGCTTGCAGTCAGCCCAATCACAGTGCATTAGCAGTCTGGAACCACAGAACAGTAAGTAGAGGCAGGCTATACATCCTGAAATACCACTCCCAGTGACATGCGCCCTCCAGAAAGGTTCCAACTCCAAATGTTCTAGACATAACCTTTCCGAACAGTACCACCAGCTGGGGACCAAGTACTCAAACACTCGAGCCTAAGAGGGACATTGCACGTTCAAACAATAACAAGCCGTCAATCTGGAGACACATAATCTATCAGAGAACTAAGAATACGTCACAGCTGAATACTCAGCATAGAAAGGATGTCTGTATCACTTCTTCCAAGACTGAGGAAACATCCAGAAAGGGGGTGAAAAGGATGCAGGACCTGGAGTAAGGACTGTAGTGCTGTAGAATACTGTCTTCCTGGCATGACATGACCGTTGCACTCTAAACCCTTAGCAGTTGTGATAGCCTGCACAAGACAGCCTATCAGTGTTCCTTGAGGAGCTGGGAGGGGCCCATGAACCCCTACTCTCCTTGAGGCTCTATCGGCAGATAATGACTGCTGGGGAAAGACATTTTCTTCAGCTCTGTAGCCACTGATGAGTTACCTGTAAATAACTCTTTACACATGCTCCTGTAAACAACCTATTTAAACTCATATGGGGCACACACGCAAGCACACACACACACACACACACACACAAGTAGAAGCATAGTAAGGAAAAGGATCAACAGCAGTGGGGGAGACACAAGAAAGGATAATGGGGAATGACTATGATCAAAACGCACACATGTAAGAAAAGATCTATAATTGATATATGCTAATAAAACATCAAAAATATCACCTCACTGTATACATAACAAATATACTCAGGTTGGTAGGTTTATTGTCCATCACTAACAGACATGTAATTCCAACCCTTCCTCTCCCAGCTTCTGGAGAAAATATTAGAGCCATTCCATAAGCAAGATGGCTGTCACCAAGCCTTTCTAGAACTTTCCATTTTATTTATAGACTGAGCATGGCTCTGTCACATGCTCTGCAGCATCACCAAACAGGATGGGAGTTAATTTGCTCTCCCACAACTATGGGACCAACACTGCCTCTGCGTTTATGCGCACGTAGATTTTAATAGCCAACATCTTCCCAAATCAGTTTTCTCACAATTAAACACCTACGTGAGGTCGTGTTCTTTCCTTTTCTTCTGCTGAAATGTAGTGGTAGCTTATTTGTCAGAAGATACAGCCCCTCCGGCTACTGTTTGTGCCAGGAGTGATGGTTAGTGTTGCCTGCCTCCCCCGGGTCTAGAATCACCTCGGGACATTACCCGAAGACTTTTCTAGATTCAGCGATGCCGAAAGTACTAGACAAAATATGGTGGTTTGAATGAGAACAGCCCCCACAGACCCCATCTGAATGCTCCAAGCCCAGTTGATAGAACTGTTTGGGAAGAATTAGGACACAGGGCCTGGTCAGAAGAGGTATGTCAGTTGGGGCTTGGAGGTTTCAAGACCCTATGCCATTACCGCTACACTCTCTCTCTGCCCCCTGGTGGTCGTAACATGTATGCTCTCAGCTCCTGCCATGGCTGCCTACTGGCTTCATGGCTCCTACCAGGATGGTCATGGACTCACCCTCTGAAACTGTAAAGTCAATACACTCTTTCTAGCTGCCAGGGGCTAGAAAAGGAGCCAAAAGACCGAAGGAAGAAAAGAGCAAGCTGAACAGCCACATCCGTCCTCTGCATCCTGACTGTGAGTGCAATGTAAGCAGGGGTCACAGCTTTTGTCTGCCATGCCTCTGCTGCCGTGATAGGCTGTACCCTAAGGTGTGAGCCAAAATGAGCCCTCCCTTTTCACGACGCTTTGTCATTCGGTCACAGCAATGAGACAGGTAACT